TGTAAGTCCATGGTGAATATAACTTTAAAATATTATCCTCCAAACTGCAAAGCTCTCTGAGACATTATTTTGAAGGTATTGGAGTCAATTTGTTAAATAGATTGAATAGAGTTCTGCAAAGTAATCCCAGTGAATTGTAATGTCATTTGAACATGTCAAAAAATGAATCTATAGTTACTGACCTACTCCAAACAACAGCTAAGCAAAGCAGGAGTTAATTCACCACATGCATGACTCTGACTTATCATCCTAAGCTATTAAAAAGAACTCTCATTAATACTCTTGAATCATCTTTGTTGACAAAATGTGTGCTTGTTTTTATAAACACAGACTGTTTATTGACAGGAAACTTCTTTGGTTGCTCCTAGTTAATCAAATGACACTACTGCTCTTTGTTCCAACAGAAAAGCTCCAAGTTTCCCTTATATTGGTTGCATGAATACAATACAGCCAGTGCTGGATAACAGAGAAAGTAATCGGACAAGTAGAAAGCCATACAAACAAGCTACAGAAAAAAAAAGACAAAAAAAAGACTTGTTTGGCGCAATGATTTTCATGACCTCAGGACATTCTTCACTGTTACTGAAGTACTTCCAAAGCGTAGTAATGGCTGTGATGCAGGGATAGCCAACTGCCAATTTGTGCACAGCAAACTTCTACCAATAGCAACAAGCTAAATGGCCACATAATTAATATTATTGATACTGGTTGAGGGATAACTTCTCACCAGCTCCTGGACGGGTAATGCTTGATAATTGTTCTTTAAAATAGTTACATAAAAAAATTTGGTGGTGGGAAATAAAAACTGTCCAGAGGTATATTATAACATCTCTGTATGGAAAGAAAAGAGAGAATTAAGAAAAATAAAACACCAATTCATCAAAGGAGCTCTAATTTTACCTTATAAACAGTGTCATGGATTTCTTTTAAAAGGGCAGTTAAAGTTTCATTGTAATATCTCTTTGAAAGAGAAACATAAATATTTTTATGAATTATCACATTTCTCTGATGTCACCTCTTGGAAATCCCATCAATGCTGAATCACATCTCAATCTTCACCCTTGATCCCTAGCACAAATTAGAACCATTACTCTCTCACACCCTCATTCTTTCCATGGTACAATCCTGATCTCTGTTCCCTTGAGGAACACACACTTGACTGTTGGTGACAGACAACTGGCTTGACCATTCATTGCCAGATCTGAATTGACCACATAAGATATGCCAGGTCTGCTTCTATTCTGCCAAAACTGCTACTGACCTACTGCAGAGAGCCAGGTGTGAAAGATAGAACTGCAGCCAAAGATCAGAAGTATGGGACTGAAATGCAGCCAAAAATTGAAGAGCAGTTCCCTCAGATAATGGAAGAGGGGCTGCAATTTCAGACATTCCACACAAATGTGAAACATTGACTCCTTCAGTCTATAGAAATTACAGATAGTCAGGGAGTCTGTGAAATGATTTAATTGTCTATTGTGTGGATCTGCCATGTGCAGCACACTCTTTGCCAAATTGCTCATTGGCAAAAGAATGACTTCCATATAGAATGCCTTCCACCAATGATTCCCATCTCCTCTGAATGATAGAACTAAGCACTAAGGCGTGTCTGGATGGCCAAAAATGGTAGAGGGTATGCGAGGAATCTTGGCTGCATAGAATGGAATAGCATAGATGGGATTTCCAAGAGATGACTTCAGTTGTGAGGTCCAGTCTTCCGAGAGAGATTTCAAGGCCCAGACTAATGAGAAAGTCTTTCTAAATGGGGGTCAGCTTGGACACAAGAGCTTCAGCTGCCTGAGCCACGTGAGCACCAAGTTCTGTCAAGGTCAAGCAGTACTATAAGATTCTCAAAGCCTTTGGCTGCTGGATATTGCCATTGTGACCATCATCAGTTGGCAGCTGGATTCCTCTCAAAGACATACATGCCAGCTTTTCTGGCGACACCGAACCCGCTCCTCCAATATCCAGTACGTCTTTGACTCTGGTCACCTTGTAAACCATCATCCCTGTCCTTGCTAACCAGCTGTATTGGTGGAAGTGCGGATTCCTGAGAAGTAGCTCTCAGGTGATGGCTGATATCTCTGGCTTGACATGACCAAGTTCCATTCCCCGATTAGTTCCTGGTAAAAGAGAGGTAGCCTCTGCAAGGAGGCTTTTAGATCCTGTCCCACCCAGGTTTATAAACTGCAGCCATATGTCCTAATTGAATTCGTTCACCTGGCTGAAGAAATTCATCACTAGTGCACATCACTTCAGCGGATGCTCAATGTAAAGGTATCCCTTAAGTGCTTGAAGGTGAAAAGTCACTATTAGTGCCTGGCTGCTCTCTCCACTATGTTTGGTGACAAACTCTGGAGGAGGAAGCATAGGTAAGCAGCCAGCCCTTGACCCTTGTTGAGCAATGCTTGAAGCATACAGTCCAGTGTCCTAGGTGAGTGGTGCCCTTGACTTCGAGCTGTTGCCAGTTCATTAGCAGGGGCTTCATCAGGTGGAGGAAGTCAGTCATGTTTCAAGCTAAAGGGCTCAGCTCTGCTGCCAGGGATCTAGTCACTATTGATCCACCAGGAATCCAGAACGATTCACCCTGTTGAGGCTGGTGTGTTACAGACCTGTTCATATTCACATACTGTCTGCAGATCAATGGGATTGTGACCATGACAATTGTTGATGTAAACTGACAACTGTACCTGACCTGCGTGGAGGCAATCCCATCAACATCTTCCACAAAGAATACAGAAAAGGCTCCACACAGATGGTATTTATTTGGTTGGGTATGGGCACCCTTAACACTCTCCTTTCCCAAAGCAAAAGAGTGCCCTCATCATCATCAATTAATCATCATCTGACACACCAAAGCGTGCACGGCAGTCAGATTTGGTTAGCAAAATTAATTTTGAGTCTAAAATCCAGCAGTCACAAATAAATATTCATGATTCACACTGTTGAGTGCCTTCTGCTGATCCAGAGAAGGGAAGGAATCTAACAGACCAGGCCTTTGGAAAATGCTGGACCTTAGCAACAGCAACATGATTGACTGACTTTGGACTGTGTGAGATAGGTTCAGTTGGATGATGTAAGCCCACAATCTTCATCCTTCTCTCCCCTTTTCCCACGTATCTGTCCGACCAGCATGTTGGCAACATTGGTGTCATACTTAAATATTACATTACAGCCAAGACTGAAATGTAGTTTTGTCTCATTAGTATTGTCTGATTCTACCACATTCTAAGCTCAATTGCTGCTGAAATCTGCACATTTTTGTTATCTGTGAATTTGGTTATTATAATATTGTTCTGGCCTGTCTCCCCATCTTCCATTGTCCATAAAATTGATTTCAATTAAAACTCTGATGCCCAA